CTCTGTTTGGCATCTGCTTTTCCGAATTAGGAAACAAAGACCGTCTGGGTATATCTCTCTGCTTGGCATCTGCTTTTCCCAATTAGGAAAGAGAGACCGTTTGGGTATATCTCTGCTTGCCATCTGCCATTTCCAACTAGCAAATGAGACGTCATCCGGAAATCCCTGCTTCGCATCTGGTTTTTTTCCCTATTGGGAAAGAGATGCCATCTGGGATCATCTGTTTTTCCTAATTTGAACTACTGGGGTCCTCCGATCTAATCTCCCTAGAAGGTCGTCCGCCAATCAGTCCCTCCCCAGATCTCCCTTCTCCCCATCGTCCCTTTCTTTTTTTTTTTTTTTTTCCTTTTTTTTTCCCATCGGTCCTTTTCTCTCAAACCCATCTTCTCTCCGTAACCACCCGCCTCCTCTTTTTTCCCTTTTTTTCCCCTTTTTTTCCTTTTTTTCCTTTTTTTTCTTTTTTTTTCCTTTTTTTTCCTTTTTTTTCCTTTTTTTTCCTTTTTTTCCCCTTTTTTCCCTTTTTTTTCCCATTTTTTTCCCCTTGTTTTTTCCCATCGGTCCTTTTCTCTCAATTCCATGTCTTCTCCTCATCTTAACCGTATCATTTCGTCCTCTTCCTCCTCTTCCTCCTCCTCCTCTTCCTCCTCCTCCTCCTCCTACGCATTGCTATTTGTTGTGCCTGCCAATCACATCTTCTCCTTCCCTACCCCCCCCAACTCCCCCCCCCCCCCCCCGGTAGAGGGGTAGGGTGATGATGCAGATCGTGCCTTTAAAGCGGCGGGGAAGGAGGGGGGGGGAGGGGCGGGAGGTGGAGGGGAGGAAGGAGAAAACTGAGGGGCAGAGTGACGCAAAGTTAAGAGCACTTGAGGGGTAGATAGAAAAGAGACGGAGAAAGAACAGGAAGAGAACCAAGGGGGAAACAACGTTGAGGAGGGAGGCCAGGGAGCAGTAGTCAAACGAGAAGAGTGGACAACGAAAGGAGGAGGGAGGAGGACGACGGAGGAGGAGGGCGAGGAACAGAGAGGAGGAGGAAAAGGAGGAAAAGGAGGAAGAGGAGGAAGAGAAGGAAAGGGAGGAAGAGGAGGAAAAGGAGGAAGAGGAGAGAGTGGACAGCGAAAGGAGGAGGGAGAAAGACGGCGGAGGAGGAGGGAGAGGAACAGAGAGGAGGAGGGAAAGGAGGAAGGGAGGAAAAGGAAGAAAAGGAGGAAGAGGAGGAAGAGAAGGAAAAGGAGGAAGAGCAGAGAGTGGTCAGCGAAAGGACTGTCTCTTATACACATCTAGATGTGTATAAGAGACAGGAAGAGCAGAGAGTGGACAGCGAAAGGAGGAGAGAGAGGACGACGGAGGAGGAGGGAGAGGAACAGAGAGGAGGAGGAAAAGGAGGACGAGGAAAGGGAGGAAGAGGAGGAAAAGGAGGAAAAGGAGGAAGAAGAGAAGGAAGAGAAGAGGGGAGCGAAGAGGACAAAAGGAGGGCGATGGCGAGAAGAGGGGGATCAAGGTAGGAGGACAAGGTCGGCCAAGCAGGAGAAGAGGTGGAGATTACCACCGAGAAATGACTAAGGGGTACGCACTTGCGGAAGAAAGCCGACGACACAGGTGCCAACTGACGAACGGCTGTGAAAAGCAGAACAGAACGAGCCACGTGTCCTGCGGCGACAGCTTCTGACCGCCCTCCAAGAGGGAGAAAGGTGGATGGGAGAGAGAGGAGGGGGAGAGGGAGGGAGAAAGTAGAGGCGGCCAAGAAAGGAAAGCATGAATGATGGATCTTACCCCTAGACTACCAATAATGCTGTAGTACAGCAGAATCGCCGAGCAACGACGGCAACAAGACGGGGCGCTACGTTCACAAACTCCCCTGAAGCCCAGTGCCAGCTGTCAGCAGTAGCACGAGCCACGTGTCCTGCCTCTGCCGCTTACGACCCCCCTCCCGCCAAAAAGAGCGGCGATCGCCGAAGAACGGACAGAGCACATGCCACACACACACATTCCGCACGTGCCGCGCGTGCCGCACAAGCCGTCGACAAATGTGTGTGGCAAGAATAGCAACGGCGTGGCGCCCGCGAAAACAAACGAAAACCCAAAAAAAATGGCGGGCGACGGAATGGCGGGGCGGCGAAATGGCAGTCCACGGAAGGGCGGGGAATGACCAGTAAAAAAGCGCGGGGAAACCGAAAAAGAGCGCACGGTGAAAAGGTGAGAGCGCCTATATACAGGGCCGTGGTCCCACTAGCAAAGGGGATAGGATATGTTTAATGCAGAGATACAGAAAAGCAGTTCGATAGTGTCCTCAAACACGTCCAGATTCAGACATTCAATCCGACACTCGTTGCTAATGGGACCATGGCCCAGGGGAGCCGTGCAAGCATAGCTGGGGGAATAGGCCAGTCCCTGCAATCAGCTGGCCGTGGCTGCAACCCGCCTGGCCCAGCTGCACAGGCCAGGCCCGGTCCAGGGGCAGATTTGGGACATGCAGCAGCTGGGGTTCAGCCAGGTGGTGGCATGGCCCGGCTGCAGGCCACAGCTGGCTGCGGAATTTGTCAGGTCAGCTGTACAGGCCTCATGCCAATATATATCTATGTGTGTATGTGTGTGTGTGTGTATGTATCTATAATATTCTATATATGCATGAGTTTAGGACTGGAGTATAGCTCATATTTTCCACCCGACTGTTACTGACGGTTCACCTTGCGTCGTTGCCCATGCGGGGCTGAATGAAAAATATGCAAGACTGGGAACAGAAACAACTTCAACAAAATAATCTCAATGTACTTGGACCAAATGAAAGCTCTGTGCATTTATTTTCTGAAGCCCTGCAAAAGGCTGTTCCAGGGCGGTGGCAACATGTCTGAGTCTAAGGGCCTCAAGGGAGAGCCGTTCCACTAGGCCCTTGAGATGTGTTAATCACGATTGGAAAGCGATTAAACCACCGGTACCTCGCTCAGCTATAGAGTCCGAAGCTCGGACTACCGGTAGCCTGATGATTCCCGAGCCTGGTAGGACATCACAGAAACAAAGAAAACAAAACAAAAAAAAAAAAAAAAAAAAAAACATTACATTCAACGTTCAGCAAAAGAAAAAAGAAAAAAAGAAAGGAAATCAGATGTGCCCTATGAGAATGAATCTTCCTCTACAATCTGACGCCGAGTTTGGTCCACCAAACTCGGCATCAGATACTATCTGATGCCCTCTCTCTCTCTCTCTCTCTCTCTCTCTCTCTCTCTCTCTCAAACGCGGATGAATAACGCGGAAGGTTCATCCGCGATTGAGAGAGAGAGAGAGAGAGAATGGGCCTGGATGCACTACTCTCCAAAAGTGCAAAATGAGAATGAACGTTCTGCAAGAACATGGAAAGATGCGCCACCATATTTTTTGTCTTTTGTGCATGTGGAGAGTCGAGTCGAATATGAACGTTGAGTCTCTCTCTCTCTCTCTCTCTCTCTCTCTCTCTCTCTCTCTCTCTCTCACACACACACACACACACACACACACACACACACACACACACAAACGCGGGTGATCC